TATAACAATATCCAATTCCCATAATTTTCAAAGAATTTTTACAAAAGTTTCAATCATCCTACCTTAGTGGAAGATTTGCATTATAACATGAGAATTTGATGGTTCTTTCTTTTGATGGTTTTTCCTGCACATCCTTAACAGCACTGAAGTTCTTGAGAATCAAGTTTGACCTTTACATGTTATACATCTTGCAATTGAGTCTCATGCCATTATTCCCATCTTCTTGCTGCAGTATGAGAGGTGTACACAAGAAGGGTTGGTTCCTGGCTTTAAATAAACACCCAAAGCACCATAACTACTACAGTGCACTGTAGTGGTTGTGGTGTCAGCAGAGGTGTAGTGTGTATGGTTGTGTGGGTGGAAGTAGGAATTGGGGGGGTGGGCTGAGGAAGTGTGTGTTACGCAGGTAGGTAAAAAAAATATTTTACTTAAAAAGTCGCCATGGCCCGTTACTACACTGCAGAAGAGTCAGCATAAGTGAGTCAGAGAAGAGTGACTCCTTTGACCTATCTGACAGTGAGACATTTACTGCGTCAGATGTAGAGCTCCTAGGTGAGCCTTTTGGAAATGGAGCTACCACCATAACACCATTCAGGAGGAGCTCAGAACGCCTCACTGAGCATAACTGGGTACCACCAAATCTAAGTGCCCGTGAAATACCCCTATTTTTGGCAACCCCTGGCATCACAACCAAAGTTGACAAAGCTGCCAATCCCGATTTTCATTACATCAGGAAAAATATGTGTTAGCACACTGACAGCACTGAAATGAATAGGTTTGGGTGCTTATGCCTGTGACTGACTGCCTGGTCACCTAGAACTGGTACACTTTCTCCTAAAAGATCTGAATCACTAACATTATCCCCCTCCAATCCATGCCTCTCAGCTCAGCACTTCCAATTCTTCAGCCCAAGAGCCTGCAGAAGCTCACCTGTCACTGAGGCATGGCGCGCCTGACATGAGCTACCCACAAACTGTCTGGAACTGCTGAACAGATCATGGAGTCACCATGGTCCGATAAAACTTTGACTAGGGTGCTCTCGGTCCCATAATGACCTACCAGGGTGCTTTTTGGAGGGGTGACAGAGGTGGCAAGGAATCCAACAATACCAAGGACTTGAGGGAGCTCCATGTGCCGACTAAAAGCGCCATCATTCAAGATTATGGAACTCGGCACCGAATCGAAGGCTAGCCACGATTCGCTAAAACTTTGACTTCCATCTTTTTCAGGCTAGGCACATCTGATCCTGGTGGTTTTTGGAGTAAGTTGGTGCTCTCAGCCAAGCTTCCTGGGGACACCGGTTATGTGAGGATGTGGTACAAGAACTGAAGTTATTTTGTGACGCGGTGCCAAGGTGTCTGGCCGCTAATTAAATGATCAGCTCAGGTACAGAAACCAAGGCGCTGGGGATGTCTCAATCTTATTGTTCTCTCTGGGGACCAACAATAAAATAAGTTCTACTTCATCCTTCACTAAGTCTCGACTTCATCCTTCACTAAGTCTCATCCTTCACTAAGTCTCGCACAAATTGAGAAGCCAAACTGCATTGTTGAATACCACAAGCATATAGGGGAATTATATTTGGCTGACCACTGGTATAAAATGTTGCCACCTACCTTGTCCAGATTACAGTAAATAATTCCTATATACTGTACAAACAAAAGCAGCCACAGTTTCCTGGAGTTCACCCTGAAGCTTTGACTGTTATTTTATTTCGCCAGCCCCCTAATTACTTGTCATTGCAATCTGAAGTGAAAGACACTTCCCTATGCCACTTCCCCCAAAAGAGCTATTTCACACCTCTGCCTCCACCTTCATCAGCTCATCAACCTCCAGGCAGCAGAGCACCTGTTTATCACCCCTGGGAACCATTCATAAAGATCAGAACTACACCAGTGGGCAGGGCAGGTGCAAGGATTTTTGACTACACAGGCAAAGATGCATTTTGCCGCCCCCCCCCCCTTAAAAAAATGCATCTTCACCTGTGTGTCTTGTAACTTTTGATTTTCTTACCCTCTTTAGTGTATGTTATCCCCCCTTTACTATGTCTTACACCCTCTGGTTTGTCTCTTATAACCCTCCTTGTGAATCTTTCTTTCCCCAGCCCCTTTGTGTGTCTCCCCCCAATTATTTTTGCGTGTCTTTCTCCACCACCCCCCGCCCCCCTCCCAGCCCCTTTCTGTGGCTCTCTCCCCTCGGAGCATTTTGTGTCTTTTTTCCATGCGATATAGACTACAGCAACACGCAACCATATATTCTCAGTCACAGAGATATGCAGGCACACAATCAAGCAAATACAGTCACACAGCCATACAATCTACACATACAGGTACAATGTCATACAAACACAGACATACAGACACTGTCATACAGACACAGGCATAAAGAAAAACACACATACACAGGCTTATACACCCTGTTCCAAATTATTATGCAAATTCTATTTAGGTGTCACAAAGATTAAATATTTTGTTTTTCAGTTTAACTCATGGATGGCATTCTGTCTCAGGGCTCTTTTGATCACTGAAAACAATCTTGGTCACCTGTGATAATTAGATTGCCAGGTGAGCCCAATTTAAGGAAAAACTACTAAAGGAGGGTGTTCCACATTATTAAGCAGAGCACCATTTTCATGCAATATGGGAAAGAAAAAAGATCTGCCGAAAAGAGTGAAATAGTTTAATGCCTTGGACGAGTTATGAAAAAAACATTAGATATTTTACGAAAACTTAAGCGTGATCATCGCACTATTAAGAGATTTGTAGCTGATTCAGAGCACAGACGGGCTCGTGCAGATAAAGGCACATTGAGGAAGATTTCTGCCAGATCCATGCATCGGATCAAGAGAGCAGCTGCTAAAATACCATTACATAGCAGCAAACAGATATTTGAAGCTGCTGGTGCCTCTGGAGTCCCACGGACATCAAGGTGTAGAGTCCTCCAGAGTTTTGCAACTGTGCATAAACCTTCTATTCGGCCACTTCTATTCGGCAGAAATGGCTGCATTGGGCAGAAAAATACATGAAGACTAATTTTCAAACAGACCTGTTCACTGCTGAGTGCCGTGCAACTCAAGTCACGCCCCCTTCTCTTGACATCATCAGAAGAGGCTGGCCGACTTCACTGGCTGTAGGCTGCAGGGAGAGTGAGGTGAGTATAAAATTCCGAGTCCCCAGCCAGAGGCAGGGGATTCGGATATATTCGCACCCCCCTGCTCTGGCGCTCTAAGGCGGCCACCTGTGTCGCCTTATGGATGCGCCAACCCTGCCAGTGGGAAATAAGCATCAATCGCCAGGAACTCCCACTTAGCCTAATGCTCGACGGTGACCTGGTACAACTCTCCACGACCGCCATTGCTACACCTGGACACCAAGAAGGAAGCAAAGGAGGTGGAGGGCTAATGAAATCTACTAAAGCCGGAGCAACCTCTCTTAACAGCATTAACAGCAGTGTAGGCCCCTGGGTAAAACTGGGCACTGGAGCCTTGCCTACACAATCACTCACACAAATTAAAATGTAACTTATTGATAAAATTAAGCTTATATTTATTGGTACCTCCAACAAATGCAATATATACATACATACACACACACACACAGACTGTTGAATACATTTACATACTTCTGAGTACACACACAGACTGCTGAATATATGCATATAGACTGCTGAATGCACATACACACACACACAGACTTTTGAATATACGCAAACAAACTGCTGAATACATACACAGACTGCGGAATACCTACACAGAGACTGTTGAATACACACACACGCAGACTGCTGAATAAACAATTTTGGCATTAATTTTGAAAATAGGACTGATCATGCAAATAGATGTCATTTATAGAAGGATAGTGATTGTATGAAGCCATGTATTATCACATAGTTGTTTGGCTCCTTTTTTAAATCATAATGATAACAGAAATCCCCCAAATTGCCCTGATCAAAAGTTGACATAACCTGAATGTTTGGCCTTGTTACAGACACACACGGTGACACACATTGATTAGAATGGCAATTAAAGGTTAATTTCCCACACCTGTGACTTTTTAAATTGCAATATGTCTGTGTATCACTAGTCAATGAGTTTATTAGCTCTCTCACATGGATGCACTGAGCGGGCTAAATACTGAGCAGAAAAGAACTGTCAAAAGACCTGCGTAACAATGTGATGGAAGTTTATAAAGATGGAAAAGGATCTAAAATGATATCCACTGCCTTGAATATGCCAGTCAGTACTGTTCAATCATTTATTAAGAAGTGGAAAATTCAGGGATCTCTTAAAACCAAGAAAGATTTCAGCCACAACTGCCAGAAGAATTGTTTAAGATACAAAGAAAAACTAACAGGTAACCTCAGGAGAAATACAGGCTGCTCTGGAAAAAGATGGTGTGGCTGTTTCAAGGAGCACAATACGATGATAGATACTTGAACAAAAATGAGCAGCATGGTCAAGTTGACAGAAAGAAGCCTTTACTGCGCCAATGCCCAGGGGCGTTTTAGACGCGAGGCAAACAAGGCATTTGCCTTGGGCGGCATTTTTCAGGGGGCGGCAAAAAACGCCGCCCCCAAATGCCCAGGGCAAATGCCTTGTTAGCCTTGCGGCTAACAGACATGCCGAGCGGGTGGCGCTGGGCTGGGCGGGCGGCTGGCGAGGGAGCTCTTCCTCTGAGCTGTCCGCTCAGCTCCCTCGCGCGCCGCAGAGTGAGGCTGGGAGCCGGAATATGACGTCATTAGTCAATACAGGTGAGGATGTTAAAGTGAGTGAAGAGATTAGTCGCTAGGGAGGCCACTAGAGGTGAAGATCATGAAGTTCACTTAAAGGGCCAGTGATAAATGAGAAAAGCCTTGCTTGTCAGATTTAGAATCAGACATAACCCCCTCCGTAAAGGCGGCCTCAGGACGCAGATTACTGAAGGCAAAACAAAACGTGTAAGAAGAACAAAGGTATATACAGTCCATTTGAAACAGAGAAGAAGAAATCTGAGTTAAAGGAATTATTTCTTTTTCCTAAGTTTTTTCTTCTTTATTTCTCTGTCTTTTAGGGCTTTCTCGAATATGGCTAGGTCTTCACGTTGTACTATCGTACCGTTTGAGGCTCTTACACGGTTAGGTGATAGTTCTTCAGATACAGTCATAATTGTACCCATGGTAGCTGGTTGATCAGGAGTGGAGGTGGAATTTTGTTTGAAGGTCAGCTCCAGGGGATTAGCTTCCACAAACCTCTTTTCAGACAGATATCTTTCATATTTGGGGAGTTGTTCTATAGGCAGAATAGTACCATCACTGGCTTTTATGAGTCCAGGAGCACCATAACGGGGTTTTGCAGTATTCTTTCCTGCGGACCGGCTGATGGGAATTGTAGTCACCTTAGCCACCATAGGTTCAGGACATTCGCTCATGGCTTCATCTTCTGCATCTTCTGAATGACTGTCATCTGAAGGCAGAGCATCATAGTCCATTTTTTCTGATCCCTTCTCTGTATCATAGGATACTAAGGAATCATCTGGGAGAGAAAAAGTAGGTATGTCTTTTTTTATATAGATTAGACGTACCGTGGTTTGTATCCTTGTATGGAGGAGTGCTTCTATCTGTAGCCCTTTTCTTGGTTTCAGTGACCACAGCAGGTTTAGGAGGTCTTATTGGGCATTCTGTGCCCTTTATCTCCACAATAGAAACATGAGTCATCTTGCCGTCTTTTATCTATTTCCATTTTAGTAAGAGATTCTCTTTTCTTGCTTTTTATGGAAGGCGTGACGGTCTTAGTTTTCTTAGGTTTTATACAAGAGCTTGATCGTAGTAACAATGAAGCAGTCTTACACAGTTCGAAGAGGCTTTCAGCAATTAAAGATAGAACACCAGTTAACCCTGTAGTCTCCATTTTTAGGCCTTGACATTCTGTCATGTCCCCGAGCAGGTCAGAGAGGAGACGATGGCCAAGGTTATTGGTTAAAACTTTATTTGTCTGTTTAGACATAATTAATTTACTTAAAAGAAAGAATTAAGGCAAATCTGCCACAAACAGGATACTTTGACAGTAAAACAGAAAAAGGCAAAATGCCACAAAAAGGATATATTGAAAGTAAATGAATACATTATTTTATATACAAGTAGGTTTGAAGTTATTCCAAGTAGATTAATAGTTTGTGGAATGTTACAATGCAACCAGGTTCAGGATGATACAGGGTTGAAATAGTTAAAGCGAGTATCTTCAATATAATATAGTACAGATTGCTTACAGTATCATACAGAGTTGCAGTAGTTGAGACAGGTAAGTAGATTCCAGTATAATGTAATACAGGTTGCTTACAGGATCATGCAGTGTTGCAGCAGTTGAAGCAGTTAAGTATATTCAATATGGCAGATCAAGCAGGTAAGTCTCTACAGATTGAAATAATGCAGATAAATACAGGATGTTTTCAGGAGCCAGGATCAGAAGTTCTATGTCAGAACACTGACTTCAATGTCAAGGCCCTGTTGTGTGCAGGGTGTAGACTTATGAAGCCTCCTCATTAGTCAATACAAGTGAGGATGTTAAAGTGAGTGAAGAGATTAGTCGCTAGGGAGGCCACTAGAGGTGAAGAGCATGAAGTTCACTTAAAGGGCCAGTAATAAATGAGAAAAGCCTTGCTTGTCAGATTTAGAATCTGACAGTATATTATGCATATATAAATGTATATTAATATATGTGTAAATATTATATATTACTGTCAGAATAACATCAGTTATGTCTATCTGTACATTGTATTAGCTAGTTTGCTATCAAAATATATATATCTATTTAACAAGAGGTCTTTCTCTCACCTGTCAATTAGCTCTTTGGCATAAACTCCTGAGCTGAAAAACTGAGTTACAGGCTAAAATGCACACCCCCAAACAAACACAAAAAAATTGCATCTTCTCTTGTGTTTCTCTTAACTCCCTTTTGAATTTCTTGTGTTTTTTTATTGCCTCTTTCGATTTTTTTTTAATTTCGTTTAGTGCATCTTGTCTCCAATTGTTCTCTTTTTGTGTCTCTTACAACACCCCTTTTGTGTCTCTTTCAACTCCCCTGGTATATCTTTTACTTCATCCCAGACCCTGCGTGCCTCTTTTACCCTTCTCCAGCCCTCTGTATGTCTCTTTTCCCCAACCCCTTTGTGTGTATCTTTGTCCCCCCAACAAACCTTCTGTGTGTCTCTGTGTGTCCCCAGTCCCTCTGTGTGCCTCTGTTTCCCCCAGTCCAGCTTTGCCCCCCAGAAACCTTCTGTCTGTCATGTTGTCCCCTTCCCTTCTGTATGTCTCTTTGTCCCCCCAACAAACCTTCTATGTGTCTCTTTGTCTCCACCCAGTCCCTCTGTGGGCCTCTTTCTTCCCGCAGCACCTCTGTGTGTCTCTTTCTACCTCTCACTCTCATTTCATTGTTTTCATTGTTGCCATGTTTTGTTTTATGATTGTGCCATTCTGTTATAACCTACAGTTTAAAAGACCTGGGGCCCCTTTGTGGGGGCATTTACGGCCCTTGACAAAGCCCAAGCCTCCATGAGACGGGTTTTTCAGGGACGGGTCTTCACCAGGGCTGGCAGATCCAGGAGCCGTCTATCCGGCCGGTCCTACTTTCAGTCCCGTTACTTGGGACAAGGCTCTTTTCAACACCGCTTTTCCCAGCTTGGGCACAGATAACCTCCGACCCTTGGGTACTAAACACCATTCAAGGTTTCCACATAGACCTTGTAGGGAACCCTGTAACTATCCCTCCTCCTCGACCGATCTGCTTCTCCCTCCGGGATCGCAGGTCGATCGATGACGAGCTATCCTCGCTCCTCGCCAAGTGAGCGATAGAACGGGCACCCCCGGGCTCCACAGGAGTCGTAAGCAATATTTTCCTAGTGGAAAAGAAGAGCAGCCAAATGCGCCCAGTCATAAACCTGCGCCCACTCAATGCTATGGTCAGGTACCGCCATTTCAAGATGGAGGGTATCCATCTGCTGAGAGATCTACTCCTTCAGGGGGACTGGTTGGTAAAGCTGGATCTCAAGAATGCATATCTCACCGTGCCTATAGCCAAAGCATCCCGAGATCTCCTGCGTTTCCATTGGTGGACAGGGACTTGGAGGTTCACATGCCTGCCCTTTGGCCTGTCATCAGCAACTTGGTGCTTCACAAAACTGCTACACCCAGCTATGGCCTGGCTATGCAGTCGAGGCATTCGTCTAATCATATACCTAGACGACATCCTGCTCGTGGCCCAGGATCGCTCCATACTTCTGGCACACCTGCTCTCTCGCCTGGGTTTCATTATCAACCAGGAAAAGTCGTGCCTGACTCCCGCCACTCGTATGGAATTCTTGGGATTCCTAGTGGATACGGAGGCGGCCACTTTGAACCTTCCAAGGTTCAAGACTCGTTCGATATGCAAGGAGCTCTGCAGAGCTCTCTTATGGCCGCAACTCACCTTGAGGCCACTGGCGCGCCTCATAGGCCTCCTAGCATCCTCCATTCAGGCAGTGGTCCCGAGTCCGCTCCATTACCGTGCGATGCAACGCTTAAAAATAGCTCACCTGAGGGCCGGTGCAGCCTATGCGGACCTGATATCGCTAGACAACGAGACAAAGGACTAATTGCGATGGTGCATCCTCAACCCATCTGCTTGGAATGGCAGGGCAATTTTCGGCTCCATGCTGGAGTTCACCATCGACTCAGATGTGAGCCTCCATGGCTGGTGGGCTCATTGCTAGGGTGTGACGACAGGGGGTCGCTGGTCGGAATCCGAATCCCGACTCCACATCAATGCATTGGAACTCCTGGCAGCTTCGCGAGGGACCGGGCTCATACATGTATCCGCCTCGGCATGGACAATGTATCAGTGGTGAGGTATGTCAACCACTTGGGCGGTACTCAGTCTGCGGTCCTGGCCAGATTGGCGAAAGACTTTTGGGACTTTTGCTTAGACCGGAACCTGGTGGTTCAAGCGGAATACCTGCCAGGACTACACAACGTCCAGGCGGACTGGGGCTCACGATATCTATCAGATGCCAGCTACTGGAAATTGGACACGAAAGTGTTCTCCAGTATATCGTCTCTTTGGGGCCCTTTTGCTATAGACCTATTCGCCTCCCGGCTCAACACCCAGCTCCCACGATTCTTCAGCTGGAGGCCGGATCCGACGGCGGAGGCAGTGGAAGCCTTCCTGCACGTTTGGAGCGGAGACCTCCTATATGCTTTCCCCCCATTCTCCATGATCCCTCGCACCCTTTCTACACTCTTGCAGATATCAGGCCGAACTAGTCCTAGTGACCCCATTCTGGGAAACACAATCGTGGTTCCCTCATTTTCTTGGGATGACCGTGGATTATCCCAGACTGTTGCCATCCTCCCAGGTACTTCTACTGGATCCGATAGGGTGTTAGAGTGCTCCCTCCCGCTGGGACCAGGGGACCCTGGGAGATCCAGGGAGTTTCGGACACTACTAGATGCTTACTGGCAGTGGTATGGGCTCCCGGCACTAGACGGGCACATGGGTCAGCTTGGCGAGCTTGGGCTGGTTGGTGCCTGGCTCAGGACATGGATCCCATTTCAGCTCAGTCCTACAGTTCCTGACTTCCCTCTTTGAAGCAGGTAAGGCATACAGAACCATCAACCTATATCGGTCGGCCATCTCCTCCACACATCAGGGGTTCGATGGTTGCCCGGCGGGCCAGCACCCCCTGGTGTGCCGGCTCCTCAAAGTTTCTCACCTCTCTCGGCCACCCAGACCGCGCTACACTGTGACCTGGGATGTATCGCTCGTGTTATCCTTCCTCGCTTCTTGGCCCACTAATTCCGCGCTCTCCCTAAGCCAAGTTGGTCTATTTGTTTTGTCTCATCTCCTGTAAAAGGGTCTCGGATGTCTGAGCACTGGACTTTAATGCCAGATCATATACCCCAGAGGGAGTGACATTCAATATCAGCAGACGCATCAAAACATCTATTAGGTCAGTATCTTATCCGAGTTTCCCCACTACACCGGCGCTATGTCCGGTGGTTTGCCTATGCAAATATGAGGATCGCACCAAGCTACACCATTCCACATCCTCCCCCCATCTATTTTTATCTAACCGTCCGCTGTTTACACCCGTAATTAGCACTACTTTGTCTTGATGGGTTAAAATAAAATTGCATGATTTTGCTATCACATGACGAAAAGTCATGATTTTATGAAAGACACGGAGGCGAGTATTGTCCCACCCAATTTATACTACTCAGGTTATGACTTGTTTGTTTTCTCCCCCCAGTTTATTTCAACATATAGGTGACACGCAGGCCCGGACTGGCCATCGGGCACACCAGGCAAATGCCCGGTGGGCCGCGATGGCCGTGGGGCCGAGGCCGGCAGGGGAGATCACAGAATCTCCCCTGCCAGCCCGTGCAGGGCCAGCGCTACCCGAGCGCCGGCCCCGCTGTGTGCCTCCATGGGCCGGTGGGGAGATCAAAGATCTCCCTCACCGGCCCAGAGGCATGGAAATGCGGCCGCCGGCTGGGGAGGGAGGGAGGAGAGAGGACCCGGCGGAGCTCTAACAAGCAGCTCCGCCGGGTCCTCTCGCGGGATTCTGAGCGTTGCCGCGGCAACGCTCAGATCTCGCGAGAGTGAACTCTAACCTGCAGGTTAGAGTTCACTCTCACCACTGGACCACCAGGGAAGGATGGCAGAACGGCTCCCCTCCCATGGC